GGATCACCGCGTAAGAGGCCCCGGAGGGCAGGCGGAACGACGAGAGGGCGCAGCGAGCTGCCCGGAGGAGTGGCGAGTGGCGAGGGCACGGATGCCCGGAGGGGTGGCGAGCGGATCGCCGAAGAAAGGAGCTGGTGGTCCCCATTGGGCAACACCGTGAACGACGTGGTGTGCACCAACCAGCGGGCAAAAAACGAAAGCTCGAGGAGCGCGAGCTCCCGAAGGGCGAGGGGACGAGGATCCTGGGCTGCGAGCCCTTAACCTATATACTACTAGAGACAAAGCAGATGTAAAGCGGCGAGGGGGTGGCACGAGTTACGCTGTCATAGACCCTGGACAATAATCATTGTCCAAAACAGGTATAGTACCCAATTTATAGAGAACGTAAGCTGTGAGGCCCATTACCGTATTTATGATCACAATTCCTTTTGAAACATGTACTTACCCTCGACGTGTCGTGTGCGATGTACCTCCCAGAGGGTTATGATGCCGCGAGGTGTTGGTTGAGTCTCCAGAGCCCGACTCATAAAGCTGGCTTCACATGAAAAGAGCGGGATAACCGTCATTATTGTTACCCGTTCACTTATAACGGCTGGCCCACCGGCTGAGTTTGACAACATCGCGGGCGCGGCGCTCTACCGCTGAGCTACAAGGTCATTACAAATTCCCATGTGCGGTTATTATGGCTGTGTCAAGCGAGGACGTCATATGAGGTAGGGCGCGGGTCCACCGTCCTTCAGCGCTGAGCAGCACACCGTCCAACACGATCTCCAACGTCTTGCCATCATGTCCAACGAGAACAACCCACCACAACGCACGCGCAGCCCCTGGACGCTCCCGTCCAACAGCGGGCCTCGGATCGGCCGCGTAGGAGCCTGGGGAGGCCCCGCCTCTGGCTCGAGGTGCGCCACAATCCGAGTACGCGTCGTCGCCCTGTACTGACCAACGGTCCGCTACCGTTCTTGACTGCGAACGCTGCTTCATCTTGGGTGCGGATTTGTATCTGTGCAGCGGATCGAGGTCATCGTCGGGAGGGAGGCGCATCGCGACGCTGGGGGACCTTGGCAGCGGCGGTCCGTCGCTCGGGCCTGGGGGAGCACACGGCGCACACGGCCATGCGCACGGAGACGACGATGACGATGACGACGATGACGGGGCTGGGAACCGGGGAGAGGACTGGTATGCTGGCGGAGAGCGCAGGTACGTCTCGTCTCATACGCTGCTGCTTGGGTGGCCGGGGAGCTGACGCACGCCCTCGCCACCTCTTCTCATCATCGTTCGCAGTGGGATCTCTGTGCAAAACCCGGACAGGGCTGGGGCTGCTCCAGGAGGAAACTTGGTTCGCGATCTGCTGCGAAGGGCTGCTGAGTATGTCTCTCATATCTTTCCATGCATGATTGGATATCAGTGACCGAGTGTACACGTCTTGTTCCTACTAGAGCAGGCCCCCCGGTCGTGCCCCAGGGCGCTCCCGCTGCTCAGCGCCGTGCATTCTTCGGCGGCGGACACACGCTGGGCAGCGACGAAGTCGAGAGCACATACGTCCCCGATCCCAGCGCGGAGCCTGCGCGTACGTCCCACATTCACCTTGCAACACGTGCCCCTGCCTCAGCCGATGCTGATTCCCCGCAGAACCCGAGGAGGAGACCGCGATCCGCCACCTCACCTTCTGGCGCGACGGTTTCACGGTCGAGGACGGCGAGCTCATGCGCTACGACGACCCCGCAAACGAGCAGATCCTCGCCGAGATCAACTCGGGGTAACGTCGCCCACTCTATCGCGCTCTACGTTAATCTCACACCGCCCCTCCATCTCCACAGACGCGCCCCTCCGCACATCCTGAACGTGTCCCCCGGGCAGCCCGTCGAGCTCCGCGTGGTCAAGCGCCTCCAGGACGCGTACGTCCCGTCCCCGCGCGCGCGCCAGGCGAAGGTGTTCTCGGGCCAGGGCCACCGCCTCGGCTCGCCCGTCGCGCCCGTCTCCTCCCTCCCCTCGACGTCCTCCTCGACCCCGGAGCGTGCCTCCATCCCCGGGTCGTTCCCCAGCAGCAGCGCAGAGCCCAGCGGGAGCGGGGCAGGGGCAGGGGCGGGCGGGCGAGGCGCGCAGGAGTTCGGGACGCGGTTCGAGGTGGATCAGACGAAGCCGACGACGAGCGTGCAGATCCGGCTTGCGGACGGGACGCGGATGGTCGCGCGGATGAACCTGACGCACACGGTGGGGGACATCCGGAACTTCATCAACGCGTGCGTTTCCCCTTCTTTCTTCTTCTTTCTCATCATGTACTATCTTGCCGGGCTGACGGGAGGATGTGCATTGTATCGCGCAGGTCGCGGCCGGAGAACAACGCGCGGGCGTACGCGATCATGACGACGTTCCCGAACAAGGAGCTGCAGGACGACGGGCAGACGATCGAGGCGGCGGGTCTGGCGAATGCGGTGGTCGTGCAGCGTTGGGCATAATGCAATGGGCTTCCAAGACCTTGCGGTGTCGAGTCTGCTTTCTTGAACTCACAGTTGAGTCGGTGGCTGTTGTACCGCTAGATATCGCAGGCTCTGTGTACGCTACGGTTGAGCATTGGAGGATAACTGCGCGTGCGCTTGGTTTTCGTACGTATGAGGATTATGCGAGACGATTGCCCGGGCGAGACAGAGTAATAAACATTCCATCAAGAGATCAATTGATGAGCAGCAACGTATAGCAGGCTAAGTAAGAGACGGAGCGTCCCCAGTCTTACCAAAACTGAGCCTAGCTTGGGTCGCGGAGTGTGGTAGCGCGTGGCGACGACCGCCGCCGCGCCCTGTGGGCAGCCAATCCCGTCCGTTGCGCGCGACCCACCGGCTGAAATGTTTTGCGCCTCAACTTGCGATTGCGATTGCGATTGCGACGAGGAGGAGGATCCGCTATGGGCATGCTATCGCCACTCCCTCTTCGCCCTCTGTGAACTCCAGGTTTCCCCACAGCTCGAAGCACCTCCTTCGACTTTCCCGGACCTCGCTTCTGGCACAATATTGTCGAGCCCGAGCCGTACGTAAAAATCCAAGACGCGTGGTCGACGCGCTTCTCCCCCAGACTCAGTAAGTCGCGCGGATTCCTGCATGCATCCAAATTGTCTCATTCTAGAGACTCCGCGCGCGTGCTCTGCTCCTCCACATGTCTTCGATGTCGCAACTCGATTCGCTCAGAGATAATCCCCTAGGCAGAGCTCGGGCATCCCCCCAAGGCTTTCTGGCCCCATCCGATTCCTGGGGGCGTCCGCCAGAGCTGGGATGAGCCCTTCCATCGTCGTGCCCCCCAGGCCCCAGCGGCCGGCCCAGCATGTTCATGCGCAAGCTTTGGGTCTCTCGGCGAGCTCGAACTTCTCGAGTTGGACGCCCGGGGTCGGCGCTCAGGGCAGCGGCCCAGCGAACGCAAGCCTCGCCTCGAAGGACAAAGGGAAGGGCAAGGAGCAGGATGCACCAGCCATCTCAAACCTGGTGGTGGCGAAGCCGAGCCCGAAGGTCGCGGGCTGGACGGAGTTTACGACGACCTGGCGGATCTGCTCCGTGACGTCGTGCGGGAACGTCCTCGACGACGACTGGCCGTCCAAGCGGTGCCAGCCGTGCAGGGAGGCGGAGGCGGCCGCACGGACGAAGGCGGGCGCCCGCCGCCGCGTCCAGGGCGCAGTGCAGGTGAGTGCTTCCCCGCCGTTTTCCGCCGAGTTCGTGCCGTGCGGTCTCGAGCAGCAGCGAGCTGACTTGTGCGGTCGTCTGCCTGTGTGCTGAAGGGCGTACGGTGCGCGTCGTGCTGCGTCTGCAACGTCCCCGTCCTCGCGGGCGGGGCCGCCTCGCCAGACAGCGCCGAGCCGCCCCTCTGTGTCCCCTGCCGCGAGCGCAGGGCCGCGCTCGTGGACGCATCATTCCAGCTCCCGCCGCTCGCCCAAAAGCCGCAGCGGACCCAGCGGCAGCACCCACCACCCCTCGAGATCGTCATGCAGGACGCGGCCCCGAGGCAGAAACGCAAACTCAGCTGCAGCACCGGCACCAACGCGCTCGGGCGTCGCCCGCCCCCTTTTGCCCACGTCTCCCATCCAGCCCCCCATCCCCCTCCGCCGATGTCGACCGTGCACCCCGCCCCCGGGGACGCACGCCCTCTCTTTCCCCAGCCCCCGCCCCCGCATCCGCCTCAGCCACAGGGCTCGTTCGCGCCGATGCCGATCGCCCCCACCGCACATGCATACAGCCACAGCCGCGCGACCGCCAGTAGCGGCAGGCCGCGCATCCCCGCCCCCGCCCCCGCCCCCGGCCCCATCCTCACACTCGCCGACATCGTGCAGTGCATCCACCCGGACCACCGCCACATTCTTGACCTCGTCGGGGCCCCTCCTTTTCCTCCTCCTCCTCCTCCTCCGCCTCCAATCGTTCCGGTGTTTCCGGTGGCGCACGCCCTCCCTCGTGTCTCTGGCCCCAGTACGAGTGTGAGTGTGGCCGGGCACGGCGCGGTCCCTGGGGCGCAGCGCAGGGGGCCGGACGTGCACTATAGCGAGACTGGGGTGATACTCGCGGCCACGCCTGAGGACTTGGATATGGGCGTGGGCGTGGGCGCGGGCGCGGGCGCGGGCGCGGGCGGGAGGGCGAGGGACAGCACCCCGCTGAACGTGAGCCCGCCGAAAGTCGTGCCGCGGATATCGCGGCTGTCGTTTGGGGCGCCGCCGCGGAGACCTCTTGCGGTCCCCGGGGAGGGTGCGCCGGCTCCCGCTACGCCTGCCTCGTCAGCTATCAGTGACGACGCTCGGCAGGAGTTGTTGCGCCGGGACGCGCAGAGGACGGCGAGTACTCGTATTACGCAGAGGGCAGCCGGGTCCGTAAGTGCTGCCAGTGCGCCTGAAGCTCCTCGTCGCCAGCTGACCGACGTCCTCGTATGCGTATGCACGCACAGGTCAAGCGGAAGATCGCACCGAAGCCAGACCAGCCGCAGCCGCCGCAGCCAGCGGCGCCGACTCCGTCGACGGTACGTACTCTCCCAGCCTCTCTCTCTCTCCTTCACGGAAGCCTTGACCGACGTCGTCCTCCCGCGTACAGCACGAACCCGCCTCAACTACAAACGATGCCGAGAACGGCCCGCCCTTCCCTAGCACCGTCAGCCCCGCCCCCACCCCCCCTACAACGCTTCCATCCCCTCCCCGGGCCCAGGGGAAGAAACGCAAACGTGCGCCCGCGCCGCACTCGAGGCACCGCGTCTGTGCAGCGCCTGGGTGCGGGAGGCTCGTCGCGCCGCACTTCCAGGGCGCGCGGTGCGTCGAGTGCGCGTTCGCGCGGTGGAGGGGTGCGCTTCGCGCGCGGTTCGAGGGCGTGCGCGCGGAGCTTGCGGGGCCTTCTCGGCCTGTGCAGAGGGATGTCGGGAGAGAGGAGAGGGTCGAGGGGGTGGAACGGGCGCCGCGGTCGGGGATGGGGGAGGGCGCACTGGGTAAGGAGGGAGGAGAGAGCGCTGTAGGCTCAGATAGGGAGGGAATGGGGAAGACGGGGGATGCGATGGACGTCGATGGGCCCGCGGCGGACGCTGCTGCTGTTCCGGAGCTGGGCTCAGGCAATGGCCCGGCGAGGGATCCTATTCTCGACGGTCCTGAAGACAGTACAGAGCAGACCAGGCAGCCGTCCACGTCTGTCAAGTCCGTGGTGCTCATCGTATCTCCGCCACGAGTTCTTGATACTGAAAAGAGCGTCGATTCGTCCGATGCGGCCTCGACCAAACCCGTCGGTACCGAGAGCCCGCGCCCGCGGTCGTCCGAGGCCACTGCTGCGAAGCCAAAGATCAAGTCTGTCAAGCTCCGTGTATCTATCCCAGACACGCATATCGCGCCCGCGGACACGGTGGGGGCATATGTACCTAGTCCGCTCAATGAGTTGTCGTTCGCCGCCGACGCTGCAGAGGACGACAACTACGAGATAGAAGTCGACCCCCCCTCTCCTGGGGACGCGTCCGACGGAGAGACCACCGACAGCGAGGCATCCGTCCCGCTGGCCACCCTGCGCCCGTCCCGTGTCCCCTCGCCCATCCCCTTCTCAAGTGCGGGTCTGCCACCTCCCGTCCGCCGCGTCCGCCTTATCCTGGGCCCAAACCCTTCACAGCCACGGTCGTCTCGCGAGTCGTCCCCAGACGTCCCGCTCCGGTCGAGGACGTCCTCTAGGATGCGCAGGTCATCGAGCAGCCACTTAAGCGACCGCTGGCACGAGCTCGGATGGAACACTGATGACTCCGAGCTCACTCCGCTCGAGGACTCGAGTGACGAGGGTGAGTCCGAGATCGATCTGCCGGAGAGCGACGAGGAGCAGGACGCGGAGGACGCTGGGACGAGGAAGCTCTCGATCAAGATCCCGCAGAGGCCTCCGCCGAAGCATCGTTGGCAGTGCCGGACACTGGGCTGCGCAAACCTGCTCACGCAGGGGACGCATTGGAAAAACTGCGACGTGTGTCGGACGGCGACGCACCGGCTACGGAAGCAGGAGCGGTTGCAGATGCGCGACAACATCATGGGACGGGCGATCGCCAACGCGGTCCGGACTGCCGTGAGGGAGGAAGAGACCACGTCGAGACGGAAGCGGGCGCTGCCCATGGCCGAAGACGATGCGCAAGAGGAGAGCGGAGGTGATCTGAACAACCTCGGCGAGTTGGTGAGTGCGCTGTCCTTCTGCGTCGTGTTGCTCTTCTTTACATCTCGACGCGATGCGGCCGTCTCCAGCCCGCGTATCAGCATTTCGCCGCCCTGCTCGAGTCGTTATGTACCCGCTTCGCGCAGTTCAAGGACGTGCAGACGCGCTACGTCCAGCTCAAGGCGCTCTCGGGGGCGGCGCGTAAGGCGATGGTGTTCAAGTTCGGCGGCGAGTACTCGGTCGTTGCCGACCCGACTGGCGGCTCCGTCGACGCGCTCGTCGGCACCGTCATCCGCAACATCCAGGCCGCACTCGGGCTCACGTTCAGGTGCGTTCGTTTCCCGCGATACGTCCGACCTCGATATTGACCACGCAGTCCTCACTCACACGTGTCCTTGCTTTCAATGTCTTCGCCTCTGTCTCGCTCAGACCTGCCGGGTTCCTTTCTGGCCCCGAAGACTCCGTTGTCGCTGTGTTGAGCTGCGAGTTCGTCGCTTGGATCCCTCTAGTCGGCCAGGAACAACAGCCTGCCGCAACGCCCCAGCCCGGAACCGCGGCGCAAGCCTCCGATAAGGCGGACTCGGCTCAGGAGGCTCGGATGGAAGTTACGATGACGGGCGAGCTGCACGTATGTGTCGCGTGGGACCGTCGACACAAGTTCTTCCCTGGGCAACGTATCATCATCCGGTTCAAGTTGGTCGGGTAACCTCACGGGGCATGCACTGCTTTTATGTTTATCGGCTTGTCGTGAGTGTGACACGTTCCGTGCGCGATCATAGTATGTAAAGTTTATTCATAATATACGAGGCGTTCATCGAACAGCCTCAGGGTTTTTGTGTAATACAATCGTATACCGATACTAGATACCTACGTCTCTACTAATGAACGTTGCCTCAGTTCTAACAGGGAGAATCTCCATAATCACGATGTGAGGAGCGTAGGTCTCACCTGTGGCCCGCTGTGGTCGGTCGCGTACTGTTTCGTGAGTCTGGACTACAGAAGCACGAAGCACCGTCTACGTGAAATGTGGGCATCAGGTTAGTCATAACGCGTTTTTTTATATGTTCTCATCAACAGGAGCGTAGGACATTTGCAGACACTCAAGCAAAAGAATGAGATTGGGGGCAACAGCTCCTAGCCGCGGTAGATACGCGCACCGGCACAGAGGTGCTAACGATGGATTTAAGAGGCAATCTGGAAATCCGATATAGACGCGAACAATATGCAGAACAAACAGGCACTGAATAATATAGGGCACAAGTACACAAGGGGCCTAGACGCACAACCGAGCACACGAGCACAAGGATTGAAAGACGCGCAGCAGAGGTATACACCATCAGCAAATAAGTGAAAAGAATGGTAAGTGACGTCCAGGTTCCGCAGCTCAGACCAGATTCGCAAGGTATGGCAAAGGGATGGCGAATAGGAGGACCCAATCACCAGGTATGGTCCACAATGGCCAGACCTCGCAGGACGCCTGGACATCGACAGCCATTTCCCGCTGAGCATCCGGACAGCAGCTACCACACTATACGTGAATTAAGGCCAATGATGTACATGATTGAGTGAGGCAATGAACATACATGGTCAGTATCTGGTGCATATTCTACCATGGCTGCCCGAGCCCACGCTGCGAGACGGTCGTTTATCATGTTCACGCAGCCGACAAATTATGACACGATTCAAGTTTGTATTTCTAATATTTAATGATAATTAGACACGAACTATACATGGAAGAAGGGAGACATTAAGTTAATTTATATACACCCACTGTGCGCAAAAAAGGTGGGTTAGGGTTAGTCGCTGGAGGAGCAAGGGTGCTCACGACACATATCGTTAAAAGTACGCGGCAATGTCTATGCAGCAAAACGAAAGGTAAGTGAGGTAGCAAGGCTTACAGAAAGGGCAAGAGCGAGATGCAACTAGTATGCGCACATTGTACATACCTGTGGGGTGTTTCCGAGACGTCAAAGCCATGAGGGCGAAACCTAGACATTAGTAGCTACGGCCGTTTTGGTACGACTCACAAAAATCGGAGTCCAAGGGGCATGTTAAGGGATTGGCATGTTGTAGCGAGTGATAAAGGGGGATGCAGACGCGGCGTTGAGGTGGGGGGTTTTGCAAGTGATGGTTCAGGGCAGGGCTGGCAGGATGACAGGCTGTTGATGGAGTTGCAAGCCTAGAATATGCGTCATCAATGAGCAAGATTCTAAACTCAATGTCAGTGGAGTACACGTAGAAAGAAGGCAGCGTGAGGATCGTGAAGGGAACATCACCACACTGGGCAGACGCTCAGAATGGCTGCATGCACATGCTCCGGCGCACTGGGCATCTGGTCTGTATTGCTGTGGACGCTGTTGTCCACATGGCGACAACACCATCTGACAGAATGCAACAAGTACTACTAAGTTTCCCCGCACTCACCCGCTCTACCCGCATCAGCACTTCAGTCCCGTGTTCCACGATTGGGCTGGCTTCTACACCCTGCAACCTGACCTGCAGCCCCATACCACCGCTCATCACTGCGACGGCCGATGCATAGATGGGGAGGCGGGGAGGAGGATCGAGGACGAGGAGGGCGCTCGGGAGTCGGGAGAGGGAGATATTGGTAAGGAGCGCCGAGGAGGAGGCGGCTGTGCCAGTATAGCGGAGCGCTTTGCAAAGTCTCGATGTATTCACAGTATCTCTAATGACGATTCAGTGGTCAGAAGCGATAGCACGAGGTGAATACCTACCTACCATTACGGGGATTCGTCCGCGCAGATGCTCAATGGCCGGAGTCTGTCGGGCGAGATGGGAGTTGGCCAGAATGAGTAGGCGCTTGCGGTTCCCGGAAAGGGTAGGCCAGTTTCGGGCGCCGTGGCCATGCAATACCATTGTTTGCACAATTTGCTGATGACGAAATCGGGCATTACGCGGGCAGAAGGAAGGAAGGAGGTGGACACAGGGCCCATGATAATGATGACCGCGCAACTGCCTATGGCAGGGAAGTCAATAGGGTCACTCTGAAGGTGTGTATCACGTTTCCGACGCCGAAGCGACTCCGCGAGGTAGCTTGAGGGCAGCGACAGTGGTGACAATATTCTGGCGTTTATGGGCGGTGTCAAACCCCATGAACCGAGTTCTGATCGGAAAGCTGCGGGTGGGCGTCGAAACGAGTGCGTTCCTCGGATACCGCTCGTCGTCGTGTACTCGATAGGCCCCGTTTTGAACGACCCAGAAGAGTAACGGAGGCCCGGCGCGAGGTACCTCGTACGATCGGATCTACAAACGACGAAATAAACCAACGGGGCAGATAGCGCACCGTGCGGGTGCCCGACGGGCATTGAGGGTCCCCTGCGGATCAAACGTGGCTTGAAAGAACGTTGAGGCGTTATGACTTCGATCTCGTGGCGACAGGTACGTTGCGAACTTGACTGCGGGTACGGCGCATCGAGGTACAGGCGCCGGTTGGGAAGGTTGCAATTCGGGTCGGGGCGGCTCTCCTTTGCCGCTTCCTGGGAGGCGCAGGTTCTGCAGCTTGCAGCGATCCTTCTGGCACCACAGGCTCCTCAGGAGCGGGCGGCAGCGGTTGCGCGGGTAGTATCCGATCGTCCTCTGGCCAAGAAGCGTCGCGGAGAACGCGCTCCAGTAACTCGAGCATGAACGCGTGGTCCGCAACCTTGGCAGCGAGCTCTCGCTCTTCAAATGACGGTGTGTCAACTGGAGGCGTGAAATTGTCGAACTTCTTCTGCAACTCGGCTCGTAGAGCTACCTCACTCTCCGTCAGCTTACCCCGCCTTGGGGGTATGGTAGGTTCTCTTGGCGCAGTTGGGGATCCCCGGGGCTTGGGTACTCGACGGATCTGCGGCGGAAGAACAGACTTCCTGAGCTCGTGGCTCAAGACCTTGTAGCGTGCCTTAAGCAAGAGAGCAGCTCAGCAAAGATGCCAACTATGGGACTATCGAAGAGGAGGGCTCCCTGTGGCACCAGCGTCTGAAGCTTGCCAGTAACTTCCATCGCGATTGACTTCTGCCCACAGGTGTACATGCAGTCAGGGCCTGAGTAGTACTGGAAGTAAATGCCGATCCACGATTGAGGGTCCTCGCAAGTAGACCGGAGGAAGCGGAAGCAGAAGTAGAGGAGCACATGGAAGAACGACTCGAGCTCGTCCGTGATTGTAACCGGATGTGCAGGGCGCTGTAGTACGTTCACCGACATGAACTGATAAGTCCCCTGAAGCCCACTATCAGTCACCAATACGAGGGTAGAGATAGCAGACACATACCATACGAATGGCTTGAGCGGTCCTTGATCCTGCATGATGATCGTCGACTGGTTTTGACATCTCCCAGTCGCTCAAAACGCCAACGCAAGTGATGGATAGACTCGTCCCCTTGGATGCTTGAATAACCTTCGGAAGGATGAGCATATTCCCACTGCTGATATCACGGTGAAGCAACCGTGTCGTGGCATTCGTTGCGGCCTGGAAATGAGCTTGTGACAGTTTTTTCAGTGAGACTGGTGTCAAATAGGCCTATGCAACTCACCGCGAAGACAATCTGTCGTGAATGATAGGAGCTGACGGCTATTCTTGAAGTGCCGAAGAGGGATGCAAACTTCTTCGACCACGATCCGGTAGTGTGTATGTCGTGGCAAAGGAACGTCTGAGCCGAGGGTCGCGTGCGGACTTCGTTGTCTACTCATGGTATTAGCGGATCGGGCGCCGTCTTCCTCGCCTTCCCTCTTCCGCTTCCTAGAGGCACCTACAACGAGGGTAGTGTCTCTATGGGCAAATAGCCCTTGAGGGGCTCAGCTCTCCCTTTCACCCGGGCCGAGGCAAAAGCCGGCACCCTGACGCCCAAAACACAGCCACATCAAATAAAATTGCCACAACAACGCATCGAACGCGCAACCAGTAAGGGAACATTTCACGCTGTAGCCTTTAAGCCATGAGAGCTTAAAAGATTTGAAATCTAATTACACTATGTCTCTTTCTTGGGCTGCGCGAAGAGGACCCGCCATTCGGGCTCCCTCCCCTCCCTCGCTGCGCTCGGGGGGTCCCCCAAGCCGGGAGCCCTCAGGCGGGCACACTAAAGCCTCGTTCGCGCTATCAATACAGACCGGCTACCCTTTGGGGGGCCCAAACCCTAACACCCTAACCCTAAACCCAAACCCTAACCGAACCTAACGGAACCCAAACCCAAACCCTAACGGTTCTAACCGGAGGGTCGGAATGGGCAGCGTTGTTTTGACCGCGGTCATGACCAAAGCCATGACCGATTTTGACTAGCTTGACTGGTCATGACGGTTGGTCAAAGGTCAACGCGTGATCTAGGCGACCGAGCGCTTGTGGGGTCGCACTAATCACGTTGATTGGGACCAGCAGCTATGGATGGCCCGACTAATTGTGTATGCCTAGGTAGAAATTGTATAGAATTGAAGGAGCATTTTTCGAGGGGAGAGTGAGCGGAAGGTGTCAGATAATGTGAGCTGGAGACAACAGAGGTTGGAAGTATCAAATACTTCAACTCCGTCAGCGGTAGAAACTATTCGGACTGAAGCATTTTTCGACTCTTCTACCGGACAGATAATATTGTGAGCGTGCAGCTTCCTCCCGCACTCGCTATTCCCTCACCCCCCTGACTACCTCCATGCACTAGCAAGACCAGCGTCGTTCGCCTGCCTACAGAACCTTCTGTTTGGAGCGAGCACCAGTGATAATGTAAATCGAGCGTGG